GAAAAATGCAATTTTTCCTTTGAAGGTTAATTTAACAATCGTGTGTCAAACTCGGTGACACCACCTCCATTATGACACAGTATATTCACACGAGCGTCTTGGAGTTAATAGTGTGTCCAACAGCTGTGGGGGTTGCACACTCTGGGTAGCAGTTTGGGCATTCCGTGTAGTCATAATTGTAATCAATTTCTCTTTTAACAGGTTGATATCACAACTATGCTTATTAATTGATGTACTGATTATTGACTCTGTTGTTTGTTTTGACTTGAATGTGTGATCTGATGTATTGAACAGGTTACTAGTATTTATAGCCTACTTTCCATTCTTAAGGAACAAAAAATAGGCTATCTGTGTGGCCCTTTCAGATCTGAAACACTTGCCTCATTTTCATGAAATCTGATATTGACATTATTTATACCATTGGAGACCAGCCCAACCTCAAAACCTTTAGTCAGTAATAACGTTGCATTACTGTCTGCATAGTAGGTTGGCTGTGAAAGCTTTAAAATGAAATGGTTTGAACAGAAAACCCTCGGATAACACACATTATTTGTTGAGCAATCTTGTCTGTACAGTATTATTTGTGACTCTTCCCTGTAAATTCATGAAATTTCATAACAGCCATTTTGATTATCCTGTGTTTTATATCATGTACAAGGTTTGTATTCACAGGGCATTTAAAGGGGCTACACGCATTCATGTACTTCTGAACCATTCAAAATTTACAGAAGTGCAAAGAAAGTGTTCAAAACATGTTTTTGGACTCTTGTACTCAAAACATACTTTTCTTCTGTTAAAATCTGTAAATAATTTTTGTATTTGCAATATATTTCCTGTAACATGCATGTATAATATTTTTGGAAGTAATCAGCTGTTTGTCAGTGACAATCACACTGTTATTGAATGTGAACACAAGTCCCGTTGAGTGACACAGACTTATCGAGTAATAGTGTACACATTGATTCCATTACCAGATGGGTAAACATTGCATTTGATTTTTTAATACATAGCATATGGTGACCTGAAGTTTATAATGATTATTTTAGTTAATGCAAGTATTTGTCTCAAAATGTATTAATAAGTATTAGCATGCTTCTCTTGGGCTTTTTAATTTTAAAGCACTTTTGTTATAATAAATATGTATACTTTGCTTGTACATATTGTCATATTTCCTCCATCCTTTCTCACTAATCGTATTTGGCGTATTTGAGAAGCATTCGACTTGAATTATGGCCAGGCAAGTCCAGGTATGCATTTACAGCTACTCTTCTTGTTCAGAGGCCTTCTACCCCATCCACAACCTGAGGATATATTGCGACAAGGGGTCCACATAAGATAACACATTTCTATTTTGTATAAAGAAAAGGGAGAATGGCAGGTTTAAAATTAAAAATATTTTTAAATATAATTTTAGCGGCAAGGGACAAATTTAGATCAACAGATCACACCAGGCCTGTGGGCCATACTGTGAATAGAATAGAATTAATTCAACTACAATATTACAGCAAGAATAATTACACAAGAAAGCATGATCACTATTGCAAACAAAATATTTATAATAGCTGATTATTTTTGCTTGAAGTAATTCTCCTATTGAGTAGAAGGAGTAAGATAAGAAATGCTCTTAAGCTTATTTGTATCATGATTCAGACTTCTTTTAGTGGGGGGAAGATTATTGAAGAGCTTAATTTGATATTTACCGAGTTTAGTCTATAGCATATGAAGGTTACATCTGTAAATTATGGATATCTGAGTTTTTTTGAAATGTTTCTATGTTGTCCACTGCAAATGATAATATTGAGAGCAAAAATTTGCTTGATAGTGGAAAAATATTAAATTTATTTTAACAGTTCTTTACATGAGGCTCTAGCTTTAGTGCCTGTTATTATTCTAATTATTTTTGTTTGGATGCAAAATACTTTTAAGCTATTTGTTGAGTTTATTCAAGCTAGCAGAGACATTATTCATGCAAATTTTGAAACCAAATTTCTGGTTGTGAAAAAATAGTAGTATCTGCAGAAAGTATGGTTTGAGAATAAGAGTTAATGGTTGCCTGTAAGTCATTTATATAAATGAGGAAAAGCAGATGATCAAACAATGGACATTGAAGAACTCATGTCTTATAATGCCCCAGTATGAATAGGTGCTATTATTTGAATTTGGTGAATTTATTTCTACAAGTTACCACTTTCCTTATTCTTTGCCAGAGCACTTCATTACTAGAGGTGTCACAGAACTGAATGGTGAAAGAAATGTTTTGTCTGGAATGACTGACGTAAGAACTTCTCTGGAGGTTACCTATTATGCTCTGCACATGTTCATTATAGTGTACAAACCGTGATGCGACTTTCACAAATCGTAAAGGAAACCAGTGTATGTAGTCTTTGCAAATCTGTCATTTGCGGTTACTTAGAAAGGTTATCTATGATCGGTAATATCTATGCTGTGTGCCATCCATGTTCATAATGTGAGAGTATTAGAACGCTGAGTGTGTGAATGCAGAAGAAATAATGTATATTAGCTGTGTTATTTTCTTGTTAAAATAATGCTGATGATTAGAAAACACAATACAGTACCCTGATTTAACAAGCCTGCTGGAAGTACGTTGTTTCTTGAAAAGCTTCGTTGTTCTATCCACCATTCCACTTATATTTTGTGCAGTGTATGTTCTACACATGTTATAATATGGTATCGTGTGTATTGTGCGTTCCAAACGATGCACTTGAATGTGTGTTTAGAGAGGCCGGATTTAGGGCCATTAAAAAGAAGTGTATGAATGGCGGTGTCGGTAGTTTATGGAACGAATAAAAGCCGGTACAAGGGATTACGTTTCAAAATCCACCCAGTTTACTTTTCGTAAAATGATATAATCATGTAGTAATTGGACTTTTAGGGTTTAAATTATGCAACAATTCGGTACTGGTGTAATTAATGTATTAAATGTTTGTTATAAGGTAAGATTAAGGGATGTGTAATTGTTTACAGCAACGAATTCAGCTATGAAGATGCTTTTCTTAGCTTTGAGGATGCTTAGCAACAGTCAGCTGGGTACATTCTGTATGGTACCAGTTCCTACACCTGGATTAGTTTCATGTTATTAGATTCATCTGGGCAAACAAAACATAAATTCAAACAAGTTGGAATATTCCTTATACTCCACAGAAGTATTTACCTCAACCAGAAATTATCAGCTATTATAAAATAGTTTGTATGCAATAGTGGCCATGTAGAATTTGAGTTTTCCACGGCGGTGAGTCTGAAGATGGCTGTCTTCTGGGTTGTTGCAGCATGGTAGAAGTTTACCGACGTTTAAGAGGTTATTGCCCAGTTGATGGAGGCAGCAAGGACATATGAAACGTCAGTAAACATCTACCATGCTGCAACAACCCAGAAGACAGCCATCAATAGTGGTCATGCCTTCTTGTGTAATTATTCTTGTTGCAATACTGTAGTTGACTGTAAATTACTGTGATAACTAGTAGCTTATATTTGTGCTTTGACATGCTCTACATTCATGGCTTTTGCCTAAATAAATTCTGTTCTATTCTATTTAAACAGATACTGATGTGTGGCTATTGCTATCATCACACGCACTAGCAAAATTGTGCATACACGAAAAATGAATAAAAGCCTAACATGCTGAAGTTATGTCATGCCTGTGTGTTACTAATTTCAGATCATGGCAATTGCTCAGCCTGTAAATATGGATTTTCATCATTCTTGGCCAGAGAGTGCAGAATGCCTTACCCTGGATTTTGGACCATTTGAAACTGTTCATCGATGGAAAAGAATGCCAGAATGTGATGAATTTGTGGGGGCCAGGTATTGATGTATTCACATGTTTATTTCCTTTTATTTACTTTTGAGGAACTGCTTGTGTGATAACAGCCATGTACCTGATTGGTTTAATTTTTTTCATGTTTCATTTTTGTTGGTGATAGAGTTGTTTTGAATGTAGGGATATATGTTACCGTGAAAACACCCAAGTGTGGCATTACGTTATTTGCAGGAGGAGTAAACATACAGTTGTGGCATATGAAGATGCAATCTACGTTTTTGGAGGAGATAATGGGAAGAGCATGTTGAATGACTTGCTTCGATTCGACGTGAAAGAAATGTCATGGGGCCGAGCCTTTGTCACAGGAACGCCACCTGCTCCAAGATACCATCACTCAGCTGTTGTGAGTATTGGCACAAAAGGTTTTTGTCTCGACTGTGTGCTCACACGCTAGTATGAAGCTGTTGTGTGTTGCTTGGAATTACAAGAACTGCAAGGCCAGAGGTCACTCTGCTGACAGGTGACCTTAATGTGTTTTCCCTCAACTAGAAGGTTCAAACTGGCTGTAACTCCTCTAGCTTCGTATTCTTGTTTGATAAGACATCAATACTATATAGTTCTGTGTTATTAAGTCTTATTGCAAGAAATTATAAGGATATGTTAGTAAGTAGGGAAGAAGTAGGAAGATGGCTGTCTTCCGGGTTGTTGCACAGAGGTCCTCGCTGCCTCCATCATCAGTGCCCTGATGATGGACGCAGCCACACCGCTAAACTGCTACCAGATTACACAGCACATCAACCCAGAAGACAACCATCTTTGAACTCACTGCTGTGAAAACCTGAGATCCTACTTGGGGAAGAAGTAATCATATTTTCTGTTTTCAGGTTCATGGTACGTCCATGTTTGTATTTGGCGGTTATACGGGTGACATCCACTCCAATTCAAATCTGACCAACAAGAATGATTTGCTGGAGTATAAGTTTCAAAATGGACAGTGGATTGAGTGGAAATTCATTGGCAGGTAGGGCTCCTGCAGCACAGCGAACTTGTGTGAATATCTTCGACTGAAAGCATCCTCTCGTCTCCGCGTAAATGAATTACACAGTGAAATTTTTTCCAACGTTAAAATTTTGTCAGAACGTAAGGTAAAGGGAGTCTAGGTTTTGATGAGTTAAAGCAGAATAAACCATGGTTTGATGATGAATGTTCGGAATTATTAGATTACAGGAAGCTGGCTAAATTTCAGCGTTTACGGAATGCAAGCCTTATGAATGGAAATAATCTGAACGATGTATGCCAGTAAAAGCTTTAGGAACAAGACAGGAATATCTGAAAGAGAAAAGGAATGAAATATAAAATATTAGACACGCGAATTTAAAATGGGTTACATGTGGTGGTTCCAAGAACATTCTTGCACTTGGAAAATGTACATGAACACGGTATGTGTGCAGGACCCCTGTGCCCCGTTCGGCGCATGGCGCTGCTGTTTATGATGGCAAGCTTTGGATATTCGCAGGTTATGATGGCAACGCCAGACTTAACGATATGTGGACCATCTCATTGCTGGTAAGTGTGGAATGCCAACTGTTCTTCCACAGTCGTGTCTACGGGTTCCGTTGCGTTATATGAGCCAAGTAGTGGTAAGCCTTGCATGATGTAGTTAATTAATTTTCAAGATTCATAGGTACTTCTCTTGGATATATGAGTTTTAATGTACACCACTGTTGTTAAATGTTTGTTTTCATGCATATTTCGTTGTTTACACAAATAAGGCAGTCCTTGCCTCTATTTTTTAACGCCTTATGCTTCTTTTGTTTTGCGTTCTTAAAACTGATATTTCATGCCTCAGCAAGATAAATACTTTTTATTACAGTCAATGAACAGAATAGGGTCTTTATGTATGCACACACACTGTTGCTTGCTGTAATCCAGGGAGACTCCAAGTCTTGGGAAGAGGTGGTACAGGCCGGGGATTGCCCCCCCACTTGCTGCAACTTTCCTGTAGCGGTGGCTCGAGAATCCATGTTTGTGTTCAGTGGACAAAGTGGGGCAAAGATAACGAACAGCTTGTTCCAGTTTCACTTCAAAGATAAGTGGTCAGTCCTATCACTTGTGCTCACTAACAGCTGACGTCAAGTTCGCATTGAATTTCAGATATGCATTTTTTGAATTCATTCACAACTTTTTCCGCCCAGTATTTGTGAAAGCTGTGATGCTTGTTTTAGTTGGACACGAATATCAACAGAACACATCCTGCGTGGTGCCCCGCCCCCTCCTGCACGTCGCTATGGCCACACGATGGTGGCATTTGATCGCCACTTGTATGTGTTTGGAGGAGCAGCCGACAGCACTCTGCCAAATGACCTTCATTGCTATGACCTTGACACACAGACCTGGTCTGTCGTGACTCCGTGTCATGACTCACAGGTTCCTTCTGGACGGCTGTTCCATGCTGCGGCTGTCATAGGGGAGGCCATGTACATATTTGGGGGCACTGTGGATAACAATGTCCGCAGCGGGGAGATGTACAGATTCCAGGTACACTCTTGCTGCCATCTCTGCCTCATTGCGATTCGCTCGAGTATAGTCCAGTCTCCTGTTTTCCTTCTTTGATTTACCATGATCGTTGTGACTTTCACATTTTTACATTATTACTCGCAGTTCTCGTGCTACCCCAAATGCACATTGCATGATGACCTGGGCAAGCTGCTGGAGGGGCGTCAGTTCTGTGACGTGGAGTTTGTGGTGGGTGTTGAGGAGGTTAAGATTCCTGCGCATCTTGCTATGATAGCTGCACGGTCACAGTTCCTGCGCAGTCGTATAAGACAGGCGCGTGAGGCCAGAGACAAGCATCTTGAAAAGGTTAGCTCAGCAGTTACTATATTGTTACAATAGGATTAATATCTTTTGACGTTAGAGATGTATTGGCGTGTAGTGAGCTATGCATTGCCCAGTTGGCACTTTGTCCTCGGGTATCCTCAGTATACGTTACTATCCTAAGATGAGAGATGAACAAGACGACAATTGGTTGTGATCTGAATTGTAATAAGAGTTCACCAAGTGGTGCTCTTAACTTTTTCATGAATGTCATTCTTATTTGTTGTTGCTTCCGAGACATTTGAATGTTGGATTCATTTGTTATCTATACTTCATGAATTTGGCTTCCATTCTTGTTACTACCTATGAAAATACAGAATGCTAAGTTTGGTATCATTGTTTAATATCAGATTTATACTGCGTTAAATAATACTCGCCGTGGTGAATTTGTTGTTGTATGACTCAGTGGCGCAATTTGAGTGTTTACATTTTATGTTGATAATGCTCCCCATTCATGTCTCTTGTGTGCAGTTGTTTGGGACAACTGAAGTACCATTCAAGGATCTGCCCCTTCTTGAAGTACGGCTTCGTGATGCTGTCCCCGAAGCCTTCGACATGGTGTTGAACTACATATACACAGACCGCATTGACCCTACCCAGAAGAGTAAGTGTCGAGGAGACGTGCGCTGTGTGGCCGTTTGTATACATGAATCTGCAAGATGCTCTGTATAGTACTTAAGTGCTTGACTCTTACTTAAATGCTGTCTAAATAAAGACATTAGTAGAAATTATGCAGCTTGAGTATTTTCAGCAGAATTTACTTATAGATGGCTCCATCACTTGAAGGTATTTTAGATAACTCTGACGTTTCACGTTGTTTCTTTGTTCCAACTTTTTTCTGTATCTCGTACGTGCATATACACATATATGCACAAAGTAACAAAGCACAAAGAATGTCTGTGTATTGTTCATGATGGGATTTAATGAGAAATAGTGGGGAAAAGATTATGTATCGTGTATTCTGTAAAATCTGTTTGCTGATATGATTATTGGGGCCTGTTCTGCAGCCGAAGACTCGATGAGTAATCGCATTGTGCTGCTCATGATGGACGTGTACAGACTCGCTGTGCAGGTAAGTTAGTTTGCAAGACAATTCAGAGATCACATATTTGTATGGGCACTGAGAAATGTGATAAGATTTTATGTTAGCGTAGACTATTCCGATGGTAACAGAGTTTGTCTGACAAGTGCCATCCTAGTCGAAGAATATTTTTATTCGTAACATGCCAATTTCACTTTGTCTGAAGACGGCCATCTTCAGACGATGCGTAGCATGTGACATGCTGTAATAGATGTTGCCTTGGTTGAAATTTTACAAGAAGTTTACATGCAAGTGTATCACAGTACCAAACCGATGTCGGTATTGCAGTTCCACATGCGCCGGCTGGAGCAGTTGTGCGTGCTCTATCTGGAGGCCACGATCAATCACCGCAATGTGTTGGAGGCTCTTCACAATGCATCGCACCTTCAATTGTACTTCATCAAAGAGTTCTGTTTGAAGTTCATTGTGAAGGAGACAAATTACAATCAGATTGTGATGAGCAAGGAGTTTGAGACCCTTGAGCAACCCCTGATGGTCGAGATCATTCGACGACAACAGATGCCACAGATACGCTCCCTGCCAGAGCCTCAGTTTGACAGCACAGGTTGTTATAATTCATCACTTTTTACCCAGTTTTTTTGGATATTCATTTGCCTGATTTACAGAACATAAAAAAGTGAACTAAATTTTTGTATTTACCATTTTTTCTTCAACGTCCTGTTGTATAATGTGTATCTTAGACACCCATGTATCTAATTGTTAAAATATATAAAGTCAGCTTATATAAAAGAGAAACAAAAAATTGAGAGGGATCGTGCCTAAGATGTTTTGTAATTCTTGTTACGTGAAGCCAGATGTTTGTGTAGCCGAAATGAAAAGATAATATTGAAGTAGTTTTGTAGCCTAGTGAAACTGGGTTCGTGGTGTTCCTAGGCACAACACTTGAGCAGGATATGGAGGCGTTCTTGAACAGTGTCGGCAAGGAATTCAGCGACATCACTCTCATGGTTGATGGGCATCCCATCCCATCACACAAGGCTGTGCTGGCTGCGCGTTGCAGCTACTTTGAGGCCATGTTCCGTTCCTTCATGCCCGAAGACAACGTGGTGAATGTGAGTTCCCAGATATTATTAAAGAGAAGCTGCTTTCTGCCTTGGAAACTACTTAAATTGGTTATGACTTCTTTCTTGTATATTCATTCGAATTCATTGGTTGATGATGTGGCAGTATATATTCATAGCTGCTATCAGCATTGTCAAATAAGCAAGTTATCGCTCCTAAGTGTGATGATGGCTTTCTAGATCCAGATTGAGGAGATGATTCCATCACTGCAGTCATTTGATTCGCTTCTGCGCTACATATACTATGCCGCTGTGAACATGCCGCCCGAGGACTCGCTGTACCTCTTCAGCGTATCGCACTACTATGGTTTCACTAACAACCGTCTGCAGGCGTTCTGCAAGCAGAACCTTGAGATGAACGTGACGTTCGAAAATGTGATGCAGATCCTGGAGGCTGCCGACAGGATGCAGGCCACGGACATGAAGAAATACTCGCTGAACCTCATTGTTCACCACTTCCCAAAGGTGAGCCACAGATGTATAAATCATTTTCCTTCCTCAAAAGAAACAAATTGCGTCTTCATGACAATGATCTGCTGGTTAATGCTGTTCACGGAAATAATTGCTGATTATTCTGAGAGTCATGGTATGGGCTTCGTTACGTATTTTACACTCGAAGACATGAACAGTTGAAGACTTTGTTATCGTCTCTGACCTTTGCTGAATCACAAATGATCTCCATTTTCTCTGCTGCAGGTCGCTCGCTTGCCAAAGTTCCAGACGTTAAGCCGAGAGCTACTGCTTGAAATTCTGGCTGCCCTGGCAGAAGAAATGAGCGATTCAAAGCTCTGTCAAGACATGTCAAGTACCAGCCTCAGCAGCGAGAGCTGAGGGGTAGCATTTCTGTCACGCCAAATCATCTGCGTGATCCTGTATGTCCTTCGCATGGACTACTGCGTTGTCTGGTGACTATACTGGCAGTGATAACTTAACGTTACGGTTGTGTTGCGATGTTAAATGTAGGTACAATTGTTAATAATATGCAAACGTTATAAACTTCGCTAAATGAGCACATTGTCGCCAAATTTTATGTTGGGATACAGAAGAGTTTCGTCTGCGAATTCGTCGTCAGATGGGGTTGTAGGCCTGTGGATTTCAGTGTGACCAACTGTCTTTCCTGATACTTTCCTGATGTTTTCCTTCAGCATTTTTAGTGGGAATTGGGCTGAATCTTAAGTTGTTTGTGATGGCAGAAATTGTCATCATTCGTGTTAAAGTGACCAAGCAACATACAAATGATTGCCAGTTACTCGTAACGAGTGCAATGTTAATTGATGCGTTGGCAAGCGATAATTGCCATTATGCAGATGGAAAATTATGTGAGTCGGGGTATGTGTTAAAGAATCAGGTCACTGTCATTTGAGGTGGGAGACCTCATAAAGTAATGTTTAAGATTTCAGGAAAATGGTGACATCAGTTTTCTTCAAAATAGAGAAATCTTTGTTGTAACAACCTTTGCGCTGATGTGTATGGGGGCATATATCATGTGCAGAGCACAGATATTTAAATGTTAACAAACACCCTCCCCCCCTTGGACACACGTGCGCCTTGTGGAATTTAAGGGATATGAAATAATAAAACAATAACTTGTTTCTGCGTAAAAGTATAGAACTTTCACACACGTGTAGAAACGTTCTTTTAACATAAAAATGGAGAACTTATATCCTGATGGATGCTGATACCACAGCTCCATAACTTGGTCGTCTAATCTTACGGTGTGATTGTAGCCAGGTATGAAATCATTGAGTATCGCACACAAAATTAAAATTTTAAAAAAAATACGTTTTACGATGGATGTATCATATATTGTATTGTAAGATAGGAGTAGATATTGTAATATTGTATGTAATATTTATGTAAAAAACATTGTCATATATAGATCTCTTATTGTAATGTTTTCCTGATCTCGGACTTAGATATTTTGAGAGAGTTATAAGTGGAGTATGTTCATTAATAGTTTGTAATTAAATTAAGAGAACAGTTATGTTAAAACAGGGTCTTTGAGAGCTTTTGTTCTTCTTTGTTAAATTATTTATTGTAATTGCTGTGGTTGCTTGGAGTAACTGATGTAAATCTGTTGTGAACTGTGTCGTTTGGTCTTCTAGTTTTATCGGCTTTTGACTAGAAGATCGGTATGCAGATTGTATTAGTGAATAGTAGTGTATTGCGTTATGAACTCGTAATTAAGATAATTTACATTTGCACTGACTTTATATGCTGGTCACAGTGGCCGCGCGGTCTGAGGCGCTTGGATGCTGGGAGCGTTTGTTTGAATCCTGCTCATGGCATGGATGTCTGTCTGTGTTATGCCGTCCCGTGTACAGGTAGAGGCCTCGTGACGGGCTTGTCACTCGTCCAGGGAGTCCTACCAAATGTCTAAATAGATTAAGTAACCTCCGAGACCCACACTGGGTTGTAGAGCCACAGATGATGACGACGACTGACTTTTTATGGGCTGTAATGAAGACTGAACATGTAGAAGGTAGTAGTAAGTGCAATGCTGCTGACCTCTGTGGTTGTTATGTACGACTTAATAATTTTGTGTTATTCATACGTAGATTTTGTTCGCTGATTTTAGAAATGTGACTTTTCCAGACTGTGAAGATGTGCTCCTCTTTTTGATTGCAAGTTGTAATGCCGGTTATCTTCCTGGAAGAATGCCCAATATTCGGGATTTGTTACGCATATCTAAGGCTAATTTTCACCGTCGTTTCTTAACTGAATTCCTGATTGCTCCTACTGAGTCTGTATCCTGCTGCATCGCAGTTTTGTTTACTTCTTGTCCGCGCTACACGAACTTAACTTGTCTTGGGAATGGTTAGTTTTGCTTTCTCTTGCTCACGGCTTACATCAAATCAAAGACCCGTTGGCACGACGTAGATACAGGAATGTGTAATGTCTCTTGGGTCCTGCGACGGTGAAAATACCGAGTGTGCAGAGGTCAGCTTGTGGGTGTGCTGTGCCCCTTGACATTGATGGAGGAGTGTGGAATAAATTTTGGACTTATCTACTATAGAAAAGTATTTCTTTATTTGTGAGGAAGTTTATATTTAAGTGAAAGCAAATTTTCTGCTCTTGATAACTTAACATCAGACTGCCCTTCCCATGTCTCGGTTGAAAATAAATTTCAGATTCACATTTAATTCGGGTAATTTATATTATTTTAAAAAAGTCCTTTGTAGATGGCGGCCATGAGTAAAATCTAATTATCTATAAGGATATGTGGCCAGTGAGTGAATATTATATTTATGTTGTGTTTGATTGGGATTTTAGTGCTGTCATCACCAAAGGGTTTTTGAACTTCGCCCATCAACGTGTATTCTTAAAACACCATAGTGTTTCACAAAGTGGATCTGTTCTATTATTTTAGAAATGCTAGATGATGGACAAAGTCCAGAAATCCAGTAATGCTAATTTAAATGTTTGGTATGTGTTTGTAATTTGGAAGCAATTGGTGTAAAGTGGTAATATAAATGAACCCTTTGTACCAAATTGTCTTCATGACACAGTATAGCTGTGATTGGATGTTGTTTCATATGTAGTTTGTGTGGAAGATCCGTATACAAGTTTACCCAATAAAGTGCAAACAACAAAGGGAGGTCTTGTGTAAAACTGTCGTTAAAATTCTTATGTCAAGATTAAGATTGTTCGACAGTTTTCTGTAATACTATCAATATTCAATTAAATTAAAATTTACTTTTGTGTTTCCAAGCGATTCCTGCGTATGGTGGAAGACGACCGTGCTTCTTACGTCAAAACACCTATTTCAGTGTGGTAGGTGACATCTGAATTTTGTCGCATGCTAATTCTACAGTATGACACGTATGATACTCTTGTTGACATTCTGTTTCAACATGACTTTGAAACCATCCGATGCCCGATTCTGAACAGAATCAGATTCGCCAAACAAATTTTAGTGGATACCAACTACATAATTTTGTTTAAATGCAATCAATACTTTGGCTCGGATGTGACACATTCAGAATGATGAGTATGTTCTGTTCATTATTAGTCAACTTTTCTCAGTTTGTCTAATGGGAATTTGATGGTGGCATGTTAACCTAAAATTGAATTGAATCTGATTGCTGAGTTCGATTGATGAACATTTTGGCTTCACCTTCATGGAGTAAAAGTGTCCACAGAAGAATAAAAATTATAATTTTGTATCATTAAAGTGAAACACACCCAAGTACATATATTACTTTTCCTTCTCGTGCTGACATCGGAATACTGCTTTTTACAGTGTTTTAAAAGATAGATTAAAACATTAATTTTGTATTGAATTTTAGTATTCAAAGTATTTTCTGCCATTCGATTGTCATAGAATAAAAATCGAAATGTATACTAACGAGTAATTCATATGGTTTCATATTCTGCTATTATTCAATTATTTCAGTCATCTGTAACTATCGAATGATTTACTCATTTGTTACCCTGCTATCGAATCGTTCCGTAGTGCAATGGAAGAAGTTAGGGCTGATGGTGGCCACAATGATTACGTAAAATGATGGCGTCGTAATAATCTCCCGCTTCCTTTATTTTTGGCGGTTTTAGTACAATACATTCTAATATGGCGATATGCATTAGTTTATAATGTGTGTGGATTATGTTAAATGTGTTTGTGTTCAGTGCAGAAAAGTGTATGTGTGGAGTTTTTATGCACCGTCATCAGTGTTGCAATTCTTAAAGAGTCTGGGTGAAGGTAGGAAGTTATTATTTTGTTTACTTCTTTGCAAACTGAGTTGGTAGTATATCGTAACTTTGACCACCTGGACCCAGTACAGTGGAATTTTCCTCTCCGAGTTTAGTTTAAAACCTTTGAACGTGTTAAAATATTTACATTTCATGACTGCCGTTGACTGTTTGTACACGATTACTTGGTGGCAATTGTTATTTCTGAAATTGGCGTCTGTTTTTCTACTTCTAATGGAACTGGATGTCTGCTTACTAACTGTGAATCATTCTCGGCAGTAGACCTGTATGAGAGACTAGGTTTTGTGCGGAGATTGAAGGAGTTTCTGTAGCCAAATTAATTTCTCCAACCCATCCCAGCGTCCAACATACGAGGTGCGATCGGAAAGTTTCCAGACTGCGCCTATAAAAACCCGTACACTTATCTCAGGTATTAAATTCATCCATCACCCTCGAAGTAGTTCCCCTGGGAGTGAACACAACGATCCCAGCGCCGCTGCCAAGCCTGGAAGCATCCCTGGAAATCTTTCTTTGTCAGCCTGTCAAGCACCATCTGCGATTCTGCCTGAATCTCTTCTATCGTCTCAAATCGCCTTCCCTTTAGCTGAATTTTCATCTTTGAGAAGAGGAAACCTTAGAAAGGAAGTTGGGGTCGGTTCTTGCAAGATCTTTCAGCTCCTGACAAACGAGAAGTCGATTCTGCTTCTGGTCCTCAGACAGGAGCCTTGGCACAAACTTGGCTGCGATGCGTCGCATGTGGAGTTCTTCCCTTAGAATCAGCTGACAGGTCCGAATGCCTCACAAAAGTTTGTGCACGACCCATTTCGAAGTATTTCCCCAAATGCTTGCTTTAGCATTTCATAGGTTTCCGTAGCCGTTTTGGCGAGTCTTTGGCAAAATTTGATGCACACTCTTTGTTCATGAAAATCCGCCATTCCGAAATCGCAGGAGGGTCGGTGTAATGCACTACCAAAACGCCCGTTAACTAAGAAACAAATGCTAATTCGATGATGCCGGCTGGCACACTGATTCACTATGAATGTAGGCCGCACCCCCTAGCGGCAGAAGCTCGTACTACATCCGGTTCGCCCTCTTTTGACACAGTCTTTAAACTTTCCGATCGCACCTCGTACATGAAATACACGACGAGAATGTACTGCTTTGTTTTTACACTTCAATCAGTACATGTATGCAGTGAACCTAAACACGCCGCTGGTCAAGTAAATTGCTGATCTTCTGAAAAGGAAAATTCGTTTAACACCGAATCCCAAAGGTCGTGCAGATATAAAAATTTCAGTTCGTACCTCACAGAAAACACAATGCGTCTCCATGACAACGATCAGTTGGTTAATGCTGTTTAGGAAAATAATAGCTGTTTGTTACGAGAATAATACAAAGTGCATAAATATGCTCTGTGCTTAAAATGCAGAATAATTTATCGTTGAAGCAGGACATATTGTTACCAGTAAGCCTTGAGGCGCAGATGAGACGTTGTGTGATATGAGTGACGCATGTAGCCTAACCTTGTTCCCTGCAGTCATCAAATGCCTCTTTACGGAATGCTTGTAATTAAATAGGTATTTTCATTTCTTGATAAGTCCTTTTAGCAGGGATGCGCTATCTTTACGTGGAACCGGGCCCCCCCCCCCCCCCCCCCCTCCACAACCTGACTTGTGCCGCGCTGTCAACAAATCGTGGCCTTGCCTTATTGCGCAGTCAACCGCTAAAGTTGTAACCACAAAAATTAACCGATAACAAAATTCGCTATTTGAGCCACGTTTCGTATATTTGAATATCATGAAAATCTGTTATTACGCAGACAGCTGCGTGTTGTTGCCGCCATATGCAGTCCCATCACGTTGACGTGTT